TGATTTATATTTGCATTGCTTTATAGGTGGTTTTGACCTTGGCATTTTCACAAAGCTTCTTAAGATCAGTAATAGAAAGTTCTGTGTATTTAATATGCTAACAAAACAATATATTAATATAGTTTTTTTCATATAGAACAAAAACAAAAAAGTGACAAGTAAATATATTGTTTTACCTTCATCTTGCTACCTTTCAATGCTGCTAGTTTCATTTTGGGCATTTCTTTTATAAGCTTTAATGAGATTGCTGTTACGGCTTTAATGGATGTTGCTATTACGGCTTTAATGGGTGTTGCTATTACGGCTTACTGTAATAGGCATTGCTATTATAGCTTTACTGTAATGGGCATTGCTGTTACGCTTGTAATTGGCATTACTGTAATCAAATTTCAAAATTTTAAACACCACGACTTTCAATACACAAGGCTTCTAACACTACAACTTCCAATACACAACTTTCAACAAGGATAGCTTAGATTAAACGAATGTCAAAGTATTTTCATATAGAAATTTTTTTTTTTTTTGCCATGGGAAGAAAATGATTTTTATACTGATCTGCAATATTTTTTTAGATCTAAAAAGTATTTATAGGTCCTGAGTGGATCAGGCTATGATCATAAATTGTCAGATAACTCTATTATATAGCAAATTGATGAATATAGTAATTTGGCTCAAATAAACAAATGATCGGCTAGATATATACTATTTCATAGCATGTGCCAGCCAATCATTTGCCTGTATAAGCCAAATTACCATTATTTGCCAATTTTTGCTGTATAATGTATACTTATACAACTATTAATAACTCTATTTTCTTATCTAACTAATTTTATACTACTATTGCTTTTCTTTTTAAAAATCTCTATAAGCTTACCAACTAAGCAAAACAAAATCTACTAAACCAAAAACGTATAAAATTTAATAAGTTAATATTTTTCAAACCAAATTCTACAACTCAAAGCTCTAAATAGATATCTTTCTTTTTCAATAGTTATTTTAAAATATACTTAAAAATAGCTACAACTAATAATCAAGTCATTGATTTTAACTTTAAGGAAGCAGCACTCAACAAATTTTCTTTAATATCTACAATTTCACAAACCTTAGCCAGAATTATTATTATCTACTAATCAAATCTTTAAACCAACTATTGCAAATTTTAAAAGAAATCTAAAAAAATCAGATCTTGATTAAACAAACTAATACATAATCAAAAGGTTCAAAATCTTTTCTGTCTCTACTATATTGTATACAAACTTTATTGCTACAAATTCTAATTCTCAATAACAACAACAACAACAACTGATCAGCTTTACAACAAAATCCAAAACTTCTAAAATTAACAAACAACAACAGCAACATTCTAATA